TCCCTCCCTCTCCTCTCTCTCTCTCTCTCTCTCATTATACAAATGAGAGCTAAGCTGAAAATGCATATTCTAGCATATGCAGGTTTTGCAGATCCATCCTGCTACTTTGCAAATAGATCTGTCTACCTGATGTGGGGAGAGGGATTCTGTTTTCTACCTATTTGGAATTTTTACTAAGAAGTCCACCTGGATGTGGTAACCCCTCACCTTTTGTAACATATGTCCAGTAACCCTCAGTCTTTTTCTTTCCTCCCAGGTATACCTCTTCTCTCTTCATCCTCCCAATGGATTTGAATTTTTTTGCAATTTCCCAAACTGACAATCCTCTAGGGCCTTAGAGAGCTTATTTCCATTCCTCTACCCTTGGGGATTTTCTATTTGCCATTCTTCTAAGGACAGGGAAGGCAAGTGAGGGGAAGGAGAACCCCAACCCCCATCTCTGACCTCCCCTCAGCAAGGCCCTCAATGCTACCCTTGTCCCTGCAGGTGCTGCAGTCAGCCAAAGAACAGATCAAGTGGTCACTCCTTCGGTGAAGACTCCACTGTTCCTGGCTCCTCACCCCCTCAAAAATCTGCAATGTCTGCTGTGACTTCTCATCCAGTTCCCCAACTGATGCTCTCAGGGTCATCTTGGGGATCACAAGGGATCCTTAAATCTCCATCCTGTCTATGGTTGCTGCCGCTCCCTTCCCCCACCCATCCCAAGTCCTAGGCACTTCCCATTCCTTCTCACTTTTTTGCAGTTCTGGGAGTAAAGCTCCCAACAGATTTGAATGCAGGGCAGGGGAGCACCTCTTCCTTTCTAGACTAGATTATGCTCCCATGTTCCTCCCCCCATATTTTCTTCTCAGCTTCTGTGCCCTTTGCAGCGGATACACTTCAGATCAAAGCAGGAGAAAGAATATGCTGAGTGTTTTTCTCCCGTTATGTTTACCTGACCTTCATCCCAGCAGCCCTTATGTCCAGAAAGGAGAGAGAAGGAGAATTCTTTTCTATAGAATGAGTGGGGTGAGGAGAGGTATGTCTAGTCTCAAGCACAGCCCCACTTACTGGCCTCAGCATTTTCTCCCATTCCATCTTACTGCCTTGTCCTCTAGCCTTGGAAAAAAGATTGGAAAAGCTCATAGGCAGGGGGACAGAGTGGAAGAAGCAGTAATTTAAATTTTATCAGATAGGGCTTATAAGATTCTGTATTTCAGTCACAGCTACCTTCTTTACTCTGATTCTGGCTTATAGCTTCAAAACTGCTGTGGTCTGTGAATGTTCATTGTGGGAATGTCCATCTCTTGATCGGCTACCTTAACTCTCCACCTTCACTACTCCTGGGATCTTTGCCTGGCTTGTCCTCTCTGTGCCCTGGAGGAAAGCCAGTCCCTGAACTAAAACTGCTTTCTAGTCTTGGGTAGAAGAGTTTCTGCTCAAACCTAGGGAGGGGGTGGAATTTATGACTTGGGCCTCTTAGTCCCCTTTGCTCCCCCACATGCTTTTCACTCCTCTGCCTTGGGTCTGTAATATCTGCTGCTTAACCCTATCCTCTCTCTGCCTCGGCATTATATCCAGGCAGTAGGTCAGGGCTCTTCCTTTCCCTAGGTCACTGAGAGAGGTGCCTTTCTTCAGAAAACCATCGAGATTTGAATTTCCCCAGGAAGATGGAAGATGGAACACCCACTCTTGGGTCTAACCTTTCCCTTTGACCCCAAACTTCCCACAAAAATATCTCAAAAGACCTTCCTGAGAATTAGGCTCTGCCCCACGCACTAACTACCAATTCTCCAAGATGAAGTAGGGCACATAACTGGGCATATTTGAGGGGGCATTTTATGTAAGAGATGTATGGAGTTGGGAGATGGCCACCTTCATATACTGCCCTGTGCGAAGAGGAATAAAACACTTTTTTTTCCAAACTGCCTTTGTGTGATGTTTTTGTTCCTCTTCCTCTCTTTTTGGCAGCTGCTCCTATTCTTCTAACATCCCCCTCACTCCCCATCTTATAATATTTCTTCCCTCTTACCTCAGAGACTCCCCCAGCATTCTCCCCTACCACCCCATCCTTAATTTACAGGATTATTTGCCTCCTTGGCATCTCTCAGTCCCCTTGCCTGGAAATAGGCGCCAGGGGTGGGGTGGGGATGGTATTTTCTCAGTGGGAGTCCCAGGGAACTGAGTTCTCCCCCCACCACCCCTAAAGCCAGCTGCCTGCTCCTGCCTCAGCCATTAGTAACCCGGAGATGTGCACCTGCGTAGGGGCTCTCCTCCAGACCCTACTCCCTTCCTGCACCTCCCACTCCTGTTCTGAAATGGCGCTGAGCGGGTTATTTATCGGAGCCAGCACTGCTCCAGAAGGTCAGGACGGTGGTGTAAATAACCTCTTCTCGCCATTTCTCCATCCCTCCAGAGCCTGCTCCCCTCCCCCTCTTCCACCTTTATTCGCACAAATGAATGTGGCTGGGCTGGCACAGAGCCTGGCCCTGCATCTTAATGGGGCAGTGAGCTCACAAGATGGATTTAGCTGGGGGGCGGGGGGTTTATGGTTGCTGCAGCGACAAGAGAATGCTTTGGTTTTCTTTCCCCCTTCTTCTGCAGGATTTTAAGGAGGGGGAAGTGTAGGGAGCCCTCTTCTGCACTGCAATTTGAAGGGTCTCCTTCTCAGTCTCACCTACTGCTCATAAG